AAAAAAAAAAAAAAAAAAAAAAAAAAAAAAAAAAAAAATTTATTCATTTTTACTTTCCTGTTAAAGAATATAAATGCATATTCCATTGATTTCTAAGGAAGAGGAGAATTCTTTTGGCCAGGGTCAGAGGAGGACTTCTCTTCCTCTACCCCCTTTGTATGCTAGGGAATCATGGAATTCGGGAACCACAGTTACTAATAGCAGTGTGTGGAATCCCCCGTGTGTGCTTTGATGGAGACCCATGGTGCCTTTTGTCACTAGAAATGTACAGACTTCATAGATAAGCAACAGAACAAGGATTAGGTCCCACCAACTTTACCCACTAACTGCAAGGGTAAAACCTATACTCATTCCCTTACTATTAATTCAGTGTATATTCACTGAACACCTACCATGTGCCAGGCATTGCGCTAGGTGCTGGGGATTTGACTGGTGCACCAGTCGGGGTCCCTGCCTTCAAGGAGCTTAAAGTCTAGTGAGGGACACAGACAAGTAAACAGGCCATTACAATTCAGGGTGGTGAGGTGTAATGCCGTGTGCTGTAGGGGGGCTCACAGCAGGGGAAGCTTGGCCCCAGTAGTGTCCATTAGTCAGGATGGTGCCCTGGGGGAAGTGAGACAGGCCGAGGGGGAGATGGGATTTTCCACAGGAAGAAAGAGGTGGTGGAGAGAGTATTCCTGGCAGAGAGACAGCCTGTGCAAAGGTCCATGGGGGGAAGATTGAGAGCTCTCTGTAGAGCTGGAACATGGTGAGTGAAGCAGGAAGGGCAGGAAGATACTTGAGGCCGGAGAGGTCAAAATGGGGGCCAAACCACAAGGTTTTTTGTATATTACATTAAGGAACTTGGATTTTGCTCTAAGGACACTTGAGAGCTGGGAGAAAGTTTTGAGCAGGAGGTTTTCTAAGATTGCCCTGGCTGTGGTGTGGAGACTAGATTGGAGAATTAGAGAAAAGAGTCAGTGGCTGTCATTCTAATATAGGCAATGGACAATTGTGGACCAAAAGAGAGGAGTGGCCGTGGCATGTCTCCTGGGAGGCAGGACTTCGAGATGGCTGGGGAGAGGGGAATCCGAGATGACACTTGGGAAAACTGGGCAGACGGTGGCATCATCTCGGAATTCAAAAGAGCAACAGAGCCAGTGCACCAGTCAACCCAGCGGCGGTGTATAATTTACAGACGTTAAAGATGAAAAGAGCAAAGGAATTCTCACAAACTGTCTTGGAGGAAAAAGACATGAAGGTGCCTAAATCTTGCAGTCCTTACATGTTGTACGTGTGCTGTTCCATCACTCTCATTTAGCAAACCTGCTCTCTATCCTCTCTCTCATGTGTGTCCAAGACACTCTCAAATCTTACGTGAACTCTATCAAGATACAGCCACTCTCTGCAACAGCACCATGCCCTGAGCCCTTTGTTTTTGTTTTTCTGATTTAGAGAGGCAGCTGGAATGGATTCAGGGTTGATGAAAAGAAAAAGATAATAGTCGAGTCCTATAATAAAAACCTGGCCAAAATGATAAAGATGATTAGCTCAAATCATTTTGCGTAAGGCTGGCCTTCAGCAAAATTGTTTAGGAGGGATAAACATTTTGGTTCTTTCCATTTCTTCATAAGATACCCATTTTCATTTCCTTCCAAGTTTCTAGGTTCCTTCCACTGCTCCTTTCCTGTGGCAGCAGAGACCCATCCGTACCCAAATCTTCAGCCATACCCACATTCGAGATCTTTCCATTCTTCTTAGAGCTAGTTAAGTATACTGGTCTTCTGTCCTAACTACTCAGGGCCCAGGTTGCTGGTAAAATAAATCCAGTACACTAACGTATTATAAATGAACAAATAAACTAACTTATACTGCAAAATAATTAAATAATCAAATACTCTAATTAAGGTGATAATGACTAGCAGCTAAATGTGTTTTCGATTTAGCTAATCCTGGATGTGCAGCAGTATGGTGGTGATTAAGTGCACCAGGCATGAGTCTGCCTGGGCTCAACTTCCAGGTCCAGCACTCACCAGCCACGGGAACCTGAGCAAGGTTACTTAATATGTGCTCAGCCTCTCTATCTGTAAAACGGGAATTCCATACATCTACTTCATAGGGTTGTTGGGATCATTATATAAGGCATAAATTACTAATTATAAGGCCTGACACATAAGTAAGTGCTCAATAAGGAGCTACAACTACTGCTATTGCTGCTGTTATTATTATTGCTATTTTTAAACCAGGAGCCTTCAAAGCTTTAACCCAAAGACATGAGTAAAGTGGAAATTTCAGTCACAATGACGGGCCTGTGAGTAAGCTCTTGATGGGGCGAATTCATTTGGTGTGTCTCCGTTTTAACCATACAGGAGATGGTCTACTTCTCACAAATGTGGCGCTACTCTGCATATTGATTAAATGATAGACTCCAAGTTCCTTGAGGTAAAGAATATGTTTTGCTCACTGCCGTGTCCCTCACACGTAGTACGATGCCTGGCACATAGGTGGGGCTTCACAGGTTTTGCTGCATGAGTAAATACTAGAAATATCCTGACGGGACTGCTTCCAAAATCAATCCTGTTTCCTGACATCACAGATACAAAAGCATTCCAGGACAGTGACATCCCCCAACATCCTAAGAGTCTCAGACATTGTTAGAATGATCATTAATGTTTCGTTACTTACATTTAAATCTGAGACTCATTATTTTGCATGATTATTTTGTTATTTTAAACTTTATGCAATGGTGATATCATGGTTCACCCACTTCTCATCTTAGAAATTTCAAAGATCATGATATTCAGTCATATAACTTAGAGAATGGGTTATATGTTTGCAATGGAACCTGCAGTTCGGTGGTGTTCCTTTTTTTTCTTTCAGTTTTTCTGGTAAAGTCCTGTTACTCTAAAAGGTATGAGTTATCTGAAGAAAGGCAAAGAAGGCTTAGAAAAATATCCTGTATGAATTATGTGATTATAAGGTTTTTGAACATGTTTCTCAAGAACATAATCATAAATACAGGGTTTCAAAAACTAAATGAAGGACACTTATATTGGGTGTGGTGAGCAACGGTTTCTAATCAAATTTCAGGGCTGGCCTTATGTTATATACAATAATGTGGTTTCTTGGATACTCTTAAAGGCACTAACAAAGAAAACTCTCTTTTTCCTGTTCACTGACACCTAAAATTCTTTTAAGACAAAGACAAGAGCAAATTGCAGCCAGGTTTTGATAGAGGGGATGCAGAGGAATTACAGAATTTCAAAGAGATCCTGAAGGCATTGATCTAGGAGGGAAAGCAAGGACTGGGGGAATCAAAGCAAAAGAGGGCCAAGGAACAGCCTATTTCTTCAGTTGTACTTTGAGGAGGCAAGTGGTTATTTTCAACTTTCTATGTCTTTTCCTTTGCATGTAATTAAAATATATAATTGGGAGAAACACTGCAAAGTTAAATATAGTCTTGATCCATTAGATTGACAATCAGTCAGGAAACTTGAGGCTTGGTAACCTGAGGGAGATTTAATAAGAATCAATTAAAACAACTTGTTATAACAAAGGACATTTGGAAAATTTCCCTTTAAGCCAAAGAAATATTAAGAAACCAAAATGGAAACCAAGGGATGGAACTGCCTAGCCCATTTGTATCAGAGAATGAATGATTGTTCTCATTAGCAATGTAGACTGGCAATTCAGTGTTGCATTTGAGAGTTGTTCTTTTCCTTTTTTTAAAAATTAAACTCAGGATCATGATTAGGCATATTTATAGTTACATGAGAATGAGTCCTATATTTGATGAGTAGGGACAATATATTAGAGACTGTATTTTTAATTCTGAGATAAGCTACACAAATCATGATACAAAATAAACATGATTTCTAAATAATGCCAAATAAATAAATTACCTTTGTGATTCAAAAACTGCTAAACGATATGAAATTCAGGTTTATTTGGGAACCCAGGAAACCTAGAGAACTGGCGTTCTGTTTAATGACAAGTGCTTACTGGTCTTTCATGCTGCAGAATGGATGACTTCCCAGGTTCATATTCAAAAATACTCCTTGGCTCAGAACGAAATCTCCTTGTGTCCACTTTTCTGTCTGGAGGGTCCCAGTCATGCCTAGAAATCAACAACAAATTACATATGAAAGTAATTCTCTGTGCTTAAAACTGTTGTATAAAACCACTGATTATCTGTTTTCAAAGCTAATTTTAGTATAGACTTTTTTTAAAGCTTTTCAGGATAAAATGTTAATATGCAAAAAAATAGCACATTTGTGTTCTGTTTTTCATAAATGATTTAAAGAAAGCCATTTCTTTGATTTCCTATTATATTTTCCTCTACTTCTTTTCATACAAGGACTATTCTCCTGCTGGCTCAATAACTCACACGAGGGGTTTGTATTGATAGAAATGCAGCCAGTTAGCTGCTGGTGAACTCTGGGGATCACAAATGGCAGCTGTGTATTTTTGTGTTTAGAGGAAGTAGCAGTTATGCTCCATTAAGTTATGTGAGTTTATCCCATCACTCTGTGACCTGGCATCCTTGATCCGAAGTGACAAGGAGTAATGTACACGTCATGTTTGATCTTGTTTATCTTGCAAGTGGCATCATAGTTTGTCTATGAAAAGTGCGAAAGTATCACTTGGGTTGCCATCCATAAGAGCAAGTTGTATGGCAGTGGAGACCCTCCATGGCTTTACCCTTGAAAACCCAGAGGCTGGCATCTATTCCATCGCGTAGGAGACCCTGGAATCAGCTCTTTTTCCTGAACTAATATCCTTCAAGAGGCAGGCAAAGAGGGACTTCAAAAGTAAAGCTTTTCTAGGTAGCTGAGGCTGAAGAAGGCTTCCTTTGAGAGGATCACATTTGAGGAAGAAGGATTTTCTGACTGTAGATGGAGGCAATTCTTCTGTTTTTTTCCTTTTTTTAAAAAAATATATTTTAATTTATTTGGCTGCGTCGGGTCTTAGTTGTGGCATGCGGGATCTTTGTTACCTGTGAGGGATCTTTGTTGCAGCATGCGGGATCTTTAGTTGTGGCATGTGAACTTCTTAGCTGCGCATGTCGGATCTAGTTCCCCGACCAGGGACTGAACCCGGGCCCCCTGCATTGGGAGCTCAGAGTCTTAGCCACTGGACCACCAGGAAAGTCCCATGGTGGGGGCAGTTCTGACCCATAGAATGGGATGAAATTCTGACTCCATGCATGTTGGAAATAGAAGTTTCTACAAGACAGGAGAATTAGGGGCAGGCAGGTCCTGGCTTTCTAGTAAATTGATGAGCAATATTCAGCAGATGTACTTTGAGCATCACATAAGACAATGTATATGAAAACATTCTAGAAAATTTTAAGGGATTATCGTGTTTCTCAATGAAAGATTTATTTTTACTAGACACATAGGACAAAATACATTTAAATCTGAGTTCATTTTGGTTCTTTTTTATGGCAGAGATAGTATTTTGTGTCTAGACAATTATTTCTCAAATTTAAGACATAACACCTATAAACACATAATCATCATGAGGAGACGGGCATTAAAATGAGAACTCTTCACACATAATGTATGTCTATCTTTGTGGTATCTTATACCCTATATGATCAGTTACTTTTAATGGTACAACAGGGCGTTGAATATAATATTTCTGGGATGGGTATGACAGATGGATGCTTAATAACCATATTAATACTGAATAATTCTTATATTCTTATTTATTATTGCTGGTATAGCATGAGCTATGGCTTTAGTTAGAGCTGAGTGTGAATCCTGGCTTGGACATAGTAGCTGCATGAGCTGAGCAACTTACTTTAATTTCCAAAACCACAGCTTATTTTTTCTCTTTCTCTCTAAAATGGGTTTAAAATAGAACATATCTCATTGGGTTGTTCTCAGAATTAAGTAATATAATACAGGAAAAGTGCTCAGATTAGTGGCTCATAGTGAGGTCTCAATGAAGGTTACCTATAAGTGGTACTATTAGTCATTATCCTAATAAAAATGGCCCAATAGAAGTGTGTTTATAAATTTTTATTTTTGTTTGAATAGTTTCTATAAAAATATTTCAGTGGGGAAATTAAAATTAGTGTGTGGAAATGAGTCGCAGGTAGACACATTAATGCCTTACTTATGATTTATGAATAACCTTTTCTGTTTTTAAAAAGATACTTTTGTGATCAGAGGGGAAATTTTAAATCATTAATAGTCCTAACATTTCAAATCTGAGGAAACTGAAAATTAACTGCATAGTCTCTGACCTGCTATGCCAAAGGGAGTGTCAGTTATTTCTATTTATTTGTCTCATATGCATTTATTATATTTTATTTTATTTATTTATTTATTTATTTTTGCGGTACGCGGGCCTCTCACTGTTATGGCCTCTCCCACTGCGGAGCACAGGCTCCGGACGTGCAGGCTCAGCGGCCATGGCTCGCGGGCCCAGCCGCTCCGCGGCATGTGGGATCTTCCCGGACTGGGGCATGAACATGTGTCCTCTGCATCGGCAGGCGGACTCTCAACCACTGCGCCACCAGGGAAGCCCCATATGCATTTACTGATCAAAGAGTGGAGATGACGCTCAGTTACTTCAAGTCTAACTCAGGTGACCATGATATTATGAACCAATATTGTGAAAGTGTTCGCTACACTCTTGATAGAAGAGGTGAACATGGCACCTTTATAAGACTATACATATACTATCTCAGAAAGGTAAGCAGTGATTCTTCTGCTGAATGCCCTGTGGGCTTATTTTTATCCTAAGCTAAATACAGGACACTTCAGGGGAAAATGCCTTACTTTTCTGTTGAAGACCGATCTCTTGGTCGAAGTGGTGGGACTGGAGGAGGAATGTGCGGGGGAGGGACAGGAGAGGAAGCATCCTTAAAGGCGTCAGTGCCGTTGTCGGAGTGGCTTTTGGAGAGGGGTCTGTAGGTCTGGGTCTTGGCAGCAGGATGTGACTGAGCACGGTAGGGTGAGTTGTACAGGCCTATCACGAAACACAACACAGCAAAACAAAAACAGAACAGAAACAAATAACATTTTGAAAGTGCATTACATTATTTATACCCCACAAAAATATCCCATGATTTTACCAAGATTATTATCAGTAAACATATTCACAATGCATGCATTGGATGGTATGCTCTTGATTTATTAATATTATTAATTTATTAATCATTATTAATTCATTAATGGATTGCATGCACGAGCATTGGTTACAGTGAATCCTCATCAATTATTATGGAATTAGTAATAATTCCAACTGGTACTAGAAACAAACTTACAGATACTTAGCAAATTTTCTCGTGGATAGTGTAAACTAATATCGTAGTTAAGATTTTAGAAGAAGATTAAAAATAATTAATAGAACTGTTTCCAAATATCTTCTATTACTTTAAAAGCTCTGATTTGCATATGATAATTGACGTGTTAATTGCAATCAAACAAAATATTGAGCAAGTTAAATACATGTGGTGCAAGGCATAAGGAAACATCAACTCTCAATAAGCTTATAGCACATCTGAGGAAAAGAGATGTGATTAGAATTATGATTGAAAATAATTGGTAGCATATGATAAAGGCCACATGAGGAAAACATATTTTAGGCATTAAAGATTTTAGAAGATGGTGATTGGTCGGAGAATATATCACAGAACTGATGACACTAGAGTGAGCCCTGAAGGATTGGTTTGGGTGGGTCGGGGAAGAGGGCAGCGGAGATGGCAGAGGAAAAAAAGCAGCAGAAAGTGCAAGGCATAGAACAGCGCGATGTAAGGTTAGTAGGAGGGGAAGAGACTAATCAGAGTTGCTTTGTCTGCCGATTAAATGGTAAAACTCTAAAGGGCTCTGCAAGTTTATATGTAACTACCGTTCAATTGACTAATTCTAATGGATGCAAACTTCAATATGAAAAATAATTATAAAAATTCTGAATTTCCTGCCACCTCAATCTTTTGAGCTAAGTCTATTTTCATTCATCTGCTCCTCCTGAAGGTCCATGCAAATTGGCTATGACAAATGAGACAGTGTCTGCACTTCTGTTTTGCCTCAGTGCTACAGTCAGACTTCAACTTGAGCGCTTGTTCAGAACGAAACAGCAGACCCAAAATGGAGTTGCTTGTGCTAAGCCCCACAGCACCAAACCGAGACTTAACTTAGTTACAGTTCTGACTCTGCCAGAAATGGAATCTTAAAGCCGTCCATCAAGAATGGCCTGGCCAGCAGGAGTTAGATAGTCTGCCTGACAGCCCCCTGCCCTCCCCTCAGGGAAAGTGACCTTGCAGTAACCCACCCGCTGTTTTTCTTAGTCTAACTTTCCTGTTCCTGCTCCCTTCTGCCTATTGAAAGCATTTCGTTTTGTTCAGCTCCTCGGAGCTCCTTTCTGTCTGCTAGATTGGATGCTGCCTGATTCATGAATCGTTTAATAAAGCCAAGAAGATCTTTAAAATTTTCTCAGTTGAATTTTGCATTTTAACAAGCAAAAAACAGGAGAGGAGTTAGGAGAACCTGAGACCGGGAATAAAAGTTGAGGGAATCTTAGCAGGCCACCTGCTGCCGTCTGGAAGAGCGAGGACTGAAAACCAGATTCTTGCAGCTTGCTGAGCCCGTTCTGCTTGTTTTTTTCCTTCTACTTGTCGTCGGACACTAGTAGCAGAATCCTCAACAGTGAAAAGGCCTGAGTGCTGGCCTTCAGGCCTCGTGGAGGGGACAACCTCATCCTGTTTGGGGGTGTGGCTGGCAAGGGGACCTCGATGGGAGGCTGCAGCTGCTGAATGGGACGTGGGCCTCGGAGACTGCTCTACAGAAGGCAATAACAGGCACTGTGCAATCGTCCTGAGCCTGGGGCCGGGAAGTGACAGGCGGCCCTGTGTGGGGTCCCCTGATGTGACATTTAGGAGAAAGCGATGATGGAAACATTTTTCAGGGGTCCCTCACTCCAGCCTGCAACCATTTCACAAGATACCAACTCACTCAAGTTCAAGTGGAAATGCCCAGAATTGAAGTCGTTCCATTATGACCGCTGGCAACTCTGAGTCAGAAAAGTGGTCCAGCAAACTGGGATGTTTAAAAATCCTTCAATAAATGATTGCATTTGGAGCAAAAGCATGGACAGGGTCACAAAATACCTTGCTTGACTTGTTTTTGGTGAAGTGTATCTGAAAGATCTTACGCAATTGTAATCATTCTCTGTACTGATAAAAGGAGATCTTTATCTTATTTTGTACCCCCTGTTACAGTATGTTCTTTCCTGCTGTCCTTCACACTTTGGTTAAACATTCCTGAAGCCGAGAATAAACTAACAGTGGGGATGAAGGAGATAAAATAGTATTAGTTCTCATTTCCATGAGAAAAGATCAAATCTTTCGTTATACATGCTGAGAAAAGAAAAAAAAGCATCTTCCTAATTGTAGAGACTGAAATCGTGCACTCAGAGTGGTAAAAAAAAATGACTGGGAAGTTCTTCCAAGCATGGGAGGACACAGTGTAGTCATGGCAAGCAAGGAAACCCATCCTACCTGCATTATATGTATAAGGAGTATTATACATGTCTGTGTCATCATCTAGAAAATGAAACATAAATATTATGGTAATACAGATTGGTCACCACATCCTAACAAGATAGCAGAACTTCAGAGAAACAACAGATTTGTTAGAAAACCAACACATTTTGCCTAGTTCATAAAACCATTTTTAAATTTTCAAATATTATGGGGTTTTTTTTTTCTGTTGTTTTTTGTTTTTTTTTTTGCTGGGACTTTGCAAATTGACTTCTCTGGGCTGTTAACAGGTTTGCTCTGCTGCCCACTTCACAGCATAGAGATATCAGTCCCTCTTCCTCCTTTCTGCCTGTCCTGGATCATGAATTTCCTTTAGTAAGTGCTTTAAAGATCCCTTGTCAACTCAGTGAGACCCAGCTACAGTCACTGTCTTGATATGGGGCAGATGCACGTGGACAGAGGAATAATGTGTCTCTTTAAGCAGATAATACGCCAGGCCAGTTTATACTGTGGATAGGGAAGGATGAAGGGTCACCTTCTAAGAGGCTTCCTGGCAACTCAGGGGTGAAGCAGCAGTGCGAGTGTCTGGGTGTTGAGGGGTGATCTAAGAATAAGGAGGAGTGTTGAAAAGAAGGAAGGGCCATGAAGTTTGCTGGGGTCTTGACAGTTTGTGTGAACCAAAACTACACAAAAGAGTGTACATCCTTCAGCCCACAAGGACCTGATCAGAAAACAGAACTACATACCCGGCTTGTGCACCATGTGGATTTGCTTAAACATGGTCTTGTACCAGTCCTTTGGCCTGTCAACTGTCTGTAAAAGAAAATGTCCAACAGTTACAAAACTGGTTCCAAATAAACATTGTTCCTCTTTGTATATTATATCTTTTTAAATAGAAGATTTCTGTTCTGACTCTTTACTGTGTCATGATGACATAGTAATTTATCCAGGGATACATGCCATTTGTAAATACATTACCCTTTGTTTGAGTGGAGGCTGAGTTGGAATGTTATACGCTATGGTTTTATTTCTTCCAGGTCACAGCTGTGCCCAGCCCTAGGTAGTTGATATTTGTGCAAGCTTATTTATATAAAATTAACTGAATAAAAGTTATAGTGTTATAATTGTTTGCTTCGCTCCTTTTGGTGATAATTATCATTATCCATAATAACTTGTTAGTATACTGGTCAAGACATTATTTTAAAAATTAACTAGGGAATATTTTGGACTCGAATTGTATTCTGATCATCAGCTTAGAATTAGAGAACTAAAAATTTGGTATTTACTAGTCTAAGTTACTAAAATACTGGCTATAGTAAACAATCTAGTGTCCTAGAGCAAGTCACAAAATATAGACATTGTTTCAAGATTTCTTTAACATGATAATAAAATGTTGGCAACATTTGCTGTGCTAAACTGTAAGTTCCTTAAAAGCAGAAGCTCCTTATCCACCCCGCTTTTGACATAATATAAACAGTAGGCTGCAGTGGAAAGCTGAGCTTAATGTCAGATCAACCTAGATTCAAATCTTGGTTCCTTTCATTACTGTTTAATACTTCCAAGCAATAAGAATTTGAGCAAGTGAGGTAACCTTTTAGGGCCTCAGTTTTCTCTTCTCTAAGATGAAATAATTATATCCACATCGTAGAATTGTTACGGAAATTGAAAGAGACAGTGTATACAAAAAGACCTAGAACAATGCCTAGAATATAAGAAATGCTCAATAAATCATAACAGTAGGAAACCTCAGATATTTACAAAATAAAACAATGAATGAATCCAGGTTATTGGATGGAAGTCTACCTAATCGTATACCTGTGAAAGTGGACATATGCCTTTATAATCATAATTCAAGATTTTGCTTGGAGTGTCTTCATTTTAACTCTTCCAGGGTTATTCTGGTAGGAAACTTGACCATTCTGTATATAGTGACTAAATATACAGATTTTTCGAGGCAGTTCTCTTCACAGAAAATATTCTGTTAGGAAGGCCACAAAAATATTCTTGTATTTGTTAGACTGAGCTTTGGTGTAGATTTTATATCCTGATTTTTCTTTCCAATGTGGTCATCGTGTTTTCCATCTGGAAATTGAGGGTTTTGTGCTATATCTGGACTTATTTTGATCTCTAAGAATATATGATTCTGGTAATCACCACAAATACAGAGTAACATCAAGGGCTAATTGACTTTGTTGGGAATCACTTCTTCACTCATTCTAGGCTCTTTCTACAATGGAAATATTGAGTGGATCACTGGTGGACTTTATACTCAAATGGTGGCTGTTATTTGCTGGGCTAAACAAAGTAGATGAACATGTATCTTTAAGGGACGCTTATTTTCATAAAAGATGGATTTGTCTTTCATTAAGCTTTAATTCCTTTGCAGTCTTTAGCAATAAAATATAAGACATAACTTTGTGTAAAAATGTTTCCCAGCCATACCTGGACACAACCAATGGCAACAAGGAAGCTGAATAAGTGAGCTATATCGCTGTATATGGCAATGCATCCTGACAGACAGGAGTTTTTCCTTCACTTGCTGGAGGGCACATATCTGGCGGGATCTCTGTTGTGCCATCTGCTAGCTTTATATGGTGAGCACAGAGATGCCAGGAAATGCCCAAGTTGCTTGGCAAAGAGGAATGTGAAACTGGTAAATGGGAATACTAAAACTCTATGTCCCTTTCTAAAAGAAGTCCTCTAAGCATTTAAAGTCCCTTTTAGAAATGCCACCATGTAGGTTGTTATGGCAAACATTGAGATTAGGTAAACGGAAGTCTACTCAAATTTCCGGAAGTTTACTTGTGTATTTGTTCTTCAAAATGATTTTGCATGGGCAGTAACTACTAGTAAATCACTATTTGGTTGTTTTCTATAACTTGGCTGAATAAACCTGAAATTTTACACTCCTGTAGTTTACAAAACATCAGAACTCTACACTGATTTATCGTGCAGAGATTTCCAAAAAGGGAAAAGACACATATTTTCTACAGTTTTGGTGATAATTATCATTATCCATAATAACTTGTTAGTATAGTGTTCAAGACATTATTTTAAAAATTAACTAGGGAATATTTTGGACTCGAATTGTATTCTGATCATCAGCTTAGAATTAGAGAAATAAAAATTTGGTATTTACTAGTCTAAGTTACTAAAATACTGGCTATAGTAAACAATCTAGTGTCCTAGAGCAAGTCACAAAATATAGATATTGTTTCAAAATTTCTTTAACGTGATAATAAAATGTTGGCAACATTTGCTGTACTAAACTGTAAGTTCCTTAAAAGCAGAAGCTCCTTATCCACCCCGCTTTTGACATAATATAAACAGTAGGCTGCAGTGGAAAGCTGAGATTAATGTCAGATCAACCTAGATTCAAATCTTGGTTCCTTTCATTACTGTTTAATACTTCCAAGCAATAAGAATGTACACCAGTATACATTATTCTATTCTATTTTTGCCCCTTTCCAGCTTGGAAAAGACTCAAACGGTGTTATATTTGAACTAGAAGGAAAGAATCTTACATTTCACTTAACTACTCGCCTTAATTACACAGTCTCGTGGGATCTGAACCCTAGCGGTTTTTGTTGTTGTTGTTTTTAAGGATGGCAGTAAAAGGCTAACATAGACGTCCCAGGTCGCATGAGACAGGGCAGTCTGGGAGCTGCTTCCCTTTCTTCAGATAGCTCAAAGGTACATTTGGTTAATTCTTGGCTTTTTAGAGTTTCCATGTTACTTTTTGAAATTCTGTTTCCTTGGTCTATGCTGGTTGTCTAAAATGAGACCCTGAGATGATACACTGGGACAGTCTGCCTTTGGTGTGTACACTGAGCAGAAAGCCCCGGTGAAGCAATGTAAGTCTGACAATCATTACTTTCTATGCGGATGAGAAAGAAAAACAGCCTTGGAGATTCTTGGCCTGCCGTGGCTCAGACATGGCGAGACTCCACATTTATAAACACAGCTATACTTGGGGATGTGCTCTGTGGGGCTGACAGATAAGAAATGTAAATGACTCTTCAGACCTGTACCTTCTCTGCAAACTTTGAACAGTCTACATAAGAGCACAGCTGTACATAAAAATGCTGGTTCCTTATAAGGAACTTCTGAGTTGCTTATATTTTTATTTTCTATTTTATAGAGGGGGAACTTGCATTGAATGTCTAGTATCTGCATTTGTTTATGCATATCTAAACATGCTTTTGATTTGGCAGTAGATTAAAAATATATAAATTTTTAATATTTCTTGATTTTTCACTAACCATCTATAACATCTCAGTTTTTTCCTTTTAAAACGTAAAAAGCAAGGTCTTGCTATTTAAGAAAATTATATCTTACGGATAAAGACAGTTCCAGCTTTGCATGTCCATTTGTGTCTATCATATATTGACTTAAAAACATACCTAGAGGTCTCAGATAAAATCAGACAATCTATAACTACACAGAATCAGGGATCTCCTAATTTGTCAAGGGTCAATTAAACAAAACCAGTGACATTATACCTGTCTGACACTGTATCCCTACGTTATTAGGAAAAGAAATTCAAATTAAACCGTTTTGAGTCAGAAATCTTAAAACAGAAACAAACAACAGAGTGCCACCACTGGAAACATGCAGCCACCATAAGATTAAGAATGTTAGTCACAATCACTGAACTCTTCCTGTCACTTAAATAGGACAATCATTGGTTCCAACAGAGATGTTTAGGACTTTATCATTAGTCACATTCAGCATCCCCAGAATCTGATGAGTCTAAAGCCCCAGCAACTGCTCTACAGATTTTCTTTCTGGCTTCCAATTCTAATACAGATGCTTGGAATAATCAAGTTTCAACTCTCCTCTCCGAACACAGGATCCCCATGTGATGAATGCAAATCCAAGGAGACAAGAGACCCTCAGTCTTTGTCTTTCGTTCTTTCTGAGCGATTCTAATCGTCCCTGATCTATTTTTCTGATCTCTTGCCGGTTCTTTTCCTCTCTCCACCCTTGTCTTTGGCCCCCCAGGTTTGCCTTCCAGGCCAGTAGCTCTCGGCACCAGCCCAGCCGCATACGTGGGTGTTGCAGACCGAGTGTATGCAGTCGGCGCTCCCTTCTCTCACCACCCCCAGTTTCACCTGCAGAGGTGCTGCCGCTCTCATCCTGGCGCCCCCAGTATTCCTTCGCGCAGGCCAGCACAGACCTCCTCTCCAAGTGGACTGGATCAGCAAGCAGCTGCCTGCCCAAGCTCAGCCTCTGCTGCTGCTGAACTTTGCCAGAAGGGGCTGCCCTGAAACACCGAGCAATGTTCTGGCAGAGTTTAAAGACTTAAAAAAAAAAAAACCAAACACTTTCACTTATCGCCCCGGAGAGCTCTCAGCAGGCACAGCTGACGAGGGACACTAAAACGTGATGTGTATTTTCCTCAGACAGTTTTTCCTTTCCACGACATGAACTCCCTTCCCTCCAATCATCTCGCTGCCCAACACCCAATTCACGGCTCCCAGTCTCCTGGTGGTAACACATCCATCTCAAGGAACAAATCACCGGTTTATTCGCAATGCACATGGGAATTCAGTGCAGCCAAAGAATTCACATTTTCTTCTTCCTTCTCTTTTCTCTTTCTATTGCCCCAACACTCCATGGAAAAGGTAAAACCAGACAAAGCCTACTTTTATCGTTTAACAGAATCACAATTTTCGTGATTTTTTTTTCGTGATTTTTAATTGAAATGGAAAAACAGATTGGGTCATTATCTTCAATCGACAGTTCCCTTTCTCTGCCACACACAGCATAATATTCATGAGAACTCAGATGGCACGGAGGGCAATCCTCATTATATAAGAGCATAGGAATGCACAAAGCCATTGACAATCCATCCTTTGTGGAGCCTGTGCACAGCCCCGGAGCAAGGCGCGCTGGCATTTCCTACCGTTCTAATTGCCGTGGGGATTCCGGATTCATCCACTGGCCCGATCCCCGGGTAGTGCGGTGCTTTGATAACTGTCACTCTCTTCTCCTCCTCTGAGGATCTGTACAGTGGTATTGAGCTGCCCATGCTGCCGTCCAGAGACTGTGCATGCTGGGGGTATGCCTCTGAGGAATCTGTGGAGAAAATTTGGTGAAATATACTTGATGCACGAGGAATCAAATTAATGGAGCCTCAGGCCTACCGTAATATAATATATTTAATTACATGTAATTACGTATAATTACATAGTTATATGTAAATATATAATACTATATTATATTTATAAATAAATATAAAGTGTATTTCCATCACTATATCTTTTAACTCATTGACCTTAAATTTGAGCCACTCATTGTTAACATGTAGGTATATATTGAATAGACCTCTAACAACAAGATCATCATCATTCAGTGTTGAGGGGAAGGAGAAGAATAATATTTGTTGAAAGACCATGCGGCCCCGTGGCAGCCACTGTGTTAAGAAAGCATTGTACATGCATTACTTCTTTTTTTTTTTTTTTGCTGTACGCGGACCTCTCACTGTTGTGGCCTCTCCCGTTACGGAGCACAGGCTCCGGACGCGCAGGCTCAGCGGCCATGGCTCACGGGCCCAGGCGCTCCGCGGCATGTGGGATCCTCCCAGACCAGGGTGCGAACCCGTGTCCCCTGCATCGGCAGGCGGACTCTCAACCACTGTGCCACCAGGGAAGCCTGCATTACTTCATTTTATGCTTCTAGTAATCTTGGATGAGGGATCCATTTTATAAATGAGGGGGCAGAAGCTGAGACAAGTTTAGTAATTTCCTTCAGCTCATCATTTACATTACTATTATTTTGGTGAAACTGCTGACTACCATTATCTTAAAGTACTAAAGTGTACTTTTAGGATGAAAAATATGACTATTGAGTCTATGACAGTGATTTTATAAAAATAAAGTGAAAACAAAAATCACATAAGGAAATCTTCACATCCAAACATATACTTGGATGTGAAGGCTTATGGGTAGAGAAATGATCGTAAGCTATTAATATTAACGTTTATTTAAGACTCCATGATGGCCACTAAAGTAAAGTAGCTTCGCTTTTACTTTAAAGTAGCAAAAACCATGACTTCTCACCCCTTGGATGTGAAAATTGCCCTAAGCATACATTGTGACTGAGATGTATCATGCTCTTCATGCCATCTTCGTTAATTTTTGGTATACTTTCATAAGAAACAGAGAGGACATAGGTGTACTCTGTATTCCACTTAGAGTTTACAGGTATTTATGAAAATCTACATTATCATGTATTTAGTACAATTGATAATATGACCTCCTGTTTTTCTACAACAAAGTTCAAAATTTTGCTGACCAAGTATGACTCTTGGTTTGTCAGATCTGTTAGTCAGGTCTCTTTTTATGTGCATATGGAAAAGTCCTTATGTCAGGGCAGCAGTCATTGATTACGTATAGGTATAGATATAAATATAGATATAGACATCTAAAAAGATATGACTGTGTTTTTGTAGCAAATTTATACAAAATTTCATAAGATTTTTAAAAAATTTAACTCATCATTATAAGGATAAGTAGAGATAAGACCTTTGTAGACTAATATCCGTTATAATATTTGTAACTGCTGTTACTATGACTGTGTTTTAGTTTGCAACAGAAAAGCATTTTCAATCCATTTCTGATGAAGAATGAATAAGGCTAGGAATACAACTGCTTTACATGCCATTGTATGTAAACATAATATCTCTTCCAAGCAACTCTGAATTAAGACGCAGTGATATTTGACTCTGATTTTCCATTTAATTACAGAAAGGATTTGAGTGGGCAACCGTGATGCTAGTATTTCTATCAAACACTTTTTAAGCACTGAGTATTTGCAAGCCCTAGCCTAAACAAACAGTGTTAACTCTCTTCATATGTGGGTCATAAGATTCTATGAACTTACAGCTTACAAGTTAGCGTTTTATTTTATTATGCTCTTATATGGTCCACTAACTCTCAGTTTTGCAGCTTTGTCCTCAACTTTATAAAGTTCCTCTAGGGCAGAATAGATTTGTATATGTTCCTCAGGACCTATCTCAGCACTGGCCAACTGGAATTTGTTCAGTATTTATCTACAGAATTTCTTTCTCTGTAGTATAGTTTATATGTAAAATCCACCCATTGATATGTTCTAATATAAAAGCCTGTCCATACTTAAGTATTTATATATTTTGTTTGTTGGGGTGGGAGGGACAAAACTGTGTTCATTAAGACAGGCAAAGGGGACAGAGTCCAACTTTGCTAATAATTATTTGGAAAAATATTATGGCTAGGATAATTTGTAGAGTTTTACTATAGATGTGTAATCATGCATAGCTCCATAAAGAATCTAGATATAATGGACTCCTGTTATAATACTACACCAGGGACTGATTATATAAGGGCAGTATTTTGGCACAAAGACTCTCTTATACTGTAAAGGGACATCATTATAAGATTCACAGATGATCCCAGGAGCAGCCTTAGAGAAGGTGCGAGTATATTTAGACATTTCTTTGAGTCTCATGGCTACATGTAAGTCTTATAGTTAGAGAGGTTTTGTTGGCCATAGAAGTTGAATTCCACAATCCATAGGCTGGGTGTTCCTGGGTAAACTAATAGCCTCATCTTCTTTCCATACACAGTGTCGGGGAAGAGAAGGCGCTGTCTGCTGTCAATGAGGACATGGGAGTTAAAGCCCTGTGTTCTAGTTTCTTTCTCTCTGCTGGTTGGTGGTGGCCAGAGGATCGGTCTCCTGCTTTTCTGAGAGGTATGTTGTGGTCACGTGGTCCTGCGCCGTCTTCACTGTTTCTTGCTGCCCTGCAATCCTTCTAGTTGCTCAACATGGAACGTTTCTCCGCTTGAATTCAGATGATGGTTCGATTTGGTCTGTTTTTCAATGTTTGTTTGGTTGAGTTTTTTTGCATTTTTAAAAACTAAGAAATATTTATTACATTATTTTCTAAATTGTCCTAATATATTTTGCTGCATAAAAATATTTCTAACATTATATAGCACAGCTTCTTTTCCAGGAAGCTTTAAAGAGTTCATAAGCGCCATGAAATCATATGTTTAAAAATTTATACGAATGTTCTAATGTTCATTTTTCTGGGGGGGAGGAGAGCTCTGTCTTTCATTTAGTTCTTAATTCCCAAAGGATTAGGAACTATCTTTCTATAAAATTCTGCATCATTATTTAAAGGAACTCACATCCCTGACTGGTGGTCTTCTGGTCTCAGTTTGAATAGTAGTTTACTACTTTGGGAGGCAGCCTATCCCCTTGTTAAACTGTTTTAACTGTTAAATAGTTCTTCTTTATATATATTAAAAGAATTTTCTACAATGAAAGCTTTTCCACAAAAGAAAGGGCTGTTTCGAACATGGATGGTATTTGCCACCCATGGAAATTCACTACATGAATGTTCTCCTGGTATATATGCACACTCCTCTCCCCAACTGGCCATCTTTTTCTTTCTGCCCCATCACCCCAAATATCTAATAGCCTTCTCCAGACTCAGATATAGATGGCCAGATATAGATATAGTCATCGTCTTGGAATAGCCGGGTCCCCATTTTCTCCAGTGTTAAATCCTCTGCCTTTAATTCCTCCCCTAGGAGAGGCTCATTAAATAGTGAAGTATTGAATGTTTCTGCTTCCTTTTCCAAAAATTACTTGGATGCTATATATTTTTCTCATTTGGTTTGTACCTGTTATATTGAAATTGTCATGAAAATCATGACTATCCGATGACTTACCAAGTGACCGGCCATGCTGCATGATAATGCTTGAATTGAGTGAGCCTGGTAGCGAGTAGGCAGAAGGGGAAAATGGCCTTTGATAGTAACTCAGTGGACTCACAGTGCCTCCAGAGTTTCCATTCAGCGTTATCTGGCTCTGAGAAAAGTGCAAAGACATCCTGTTAAAGCACACGGACCCCTGTAAACATCACTCCTTTAGATGACAATAATTGCTTCCATTCACATGACAGTAATCAGCTGTCCAGTATTTATTTACTAACTGATGTCGAGAAGGGCATGGAACTTTTTTTTTCAGTGTCTTCACTATCTTCTTTACTCTGAAAATCACTCTCTTTATATGTCAGAGGGCACAGGAGGTGATTAGGAGAATGGAAGCAGCTGACTAGTGGGCACATTGCTCTGCCAACAGTGATGTCCAAAGATATCAGAGGAGCCAGTATAAAGTAAACGTGGAGGGTGAATCTGCTCTAATGTCGTGACTTAAATCACACTGCTCTGGGTGTAGGATTTTAAAAGAACATTCTTTGACAAGAGGAAAGTGATCGGTTCTCAGACTTAATCAGGGAATCCTGTAGCGAATCAAGGTTTCCAGGGCAAGGTGACTAACATAAGGAGGACAATTGTTTGGATTTATATATGTCATGAAGCAATCTATTCTGGAACAATCAAATACCTGGTGAAGCATTAGAAAGTGGTGTTAACCCGCCGGCTTCTTCCTACTCATGTTTCATTTATCACGTTATAGGCCTCTTTTTGGTTCCTTAATAATTTATTGTTTTGATTGCTTTATATTTGAGTATTTTCATATCCCCAGTGGTATTTCAAGATTCTTGTTGAAGACGGTTATATATATGCTTTTTAAACATATTTTTCTGTATAACATGCAACCTGGTGCTAATAGGATAGTAGATATTCAATAGATACATATTCTCATTGAATTGAATCAGCTCAGTTAGAGAGGTGGAGCTCACTATTAAGCATGCCTGTCTGTCCACAACATAGCACTGAGCATTGTGGAGATTGTATAATGCATGCAAATAAGATAAAACATTAGTAAGAGCATTTAGTTCAAACACCTTACAGCTGAATACACACAAAACACACATATGCGCATAAAGAACCATAATTTGTGACCTTTATCTGCTTATTTTAAAACAAATTAAACTTCTGTCGTATAGGCCTGAAACATAGGTAGTCAATTAATTGCACATTTCCATGATTTTTCACTTTAAAGCAGATGTTTTCAAATAATGTAGAATTAATCTAGTTTCATTACTTTATAGCCATACCACACCTGTCCTAAAGTCAGTAAGCATATCATTACAATGATTGTGCTTAATGATGAACTACTGCTCTGGGCTGTTACAGAAATCATTGTTAGCAACCCCATCTTGAGGGTCATCTACCCTAGAGCACTGGCCATTCAGCTAAGTGTGATGCACTGATCTACCCAAATGCTTCAGAGTGCTTATATATCTTCGATGAATTATTCGAGACTATTTTTGCCTCCTTGCCCAAATCCAGTTTGGTTGATCTTTGTAAATATAATTTAAATATTATTGTTATAATTAATGTTAAAGGCAGGAGAATTCTCCTTAGTAGAAACTATCATGTTACTATGTAACTAAACTTAGGAAAGTTGCCCTGCCTCCTATTTTGATGGTTTCAATAACATTGGTTATGGGTTAAACAAAATAAAAGCTGCAGATAGATTTAGCCTTTCATCATGTTAAATCAATTAGGATTTTACTAATGAAATAATACTATTAGAATTTTAGAAAATACTTTATTATTATAGTGAAATAATTATTAGGAAAACCATCTCATGGAGAAGGTATGTGCAATTTAAACTGTTACTTGAAACTAAGTTCAGTTACAGTTGGCTCCACAAAGCTATATGTATGCCTCTCAGGCTCCTGAAGAGTCTTAGAAACAGTAAATTAAATAGGCTAGTACATAAATTAATACACTATCACTGCTTTGTATTTTTGGGTAAAGGCATTCCTTAGAGTTTTAAAAGTAAAGAACTATTGAAAGCATAGTAGAACATGGAGAGGCTCATGCCTGTTGCGCTCCAGGTACTAGTGGCAGGGGAGGTATTAGCTGTGGAAAAGGAGGTTCCTTCTGTAGCTAGTCTCTGAATGCAACATTTCAGGGGAAGGTTTTATACCCAGCTGTTGAATTAATACTGAAGCCCATCTAAAGTATTATTAAGTATTTAGTAAAGATACTAAAAAGTATCTTTTGTCTTCTGTAATTGCAATGTCTTGAAAAACATATAGTTTATAATATTTCTCCAGGCATGAAATTCACAGATTTATGACCTTGATGCAACATAAAAATTATGTAGCACAGCTAAAATTTTCTCTATGACAATGCATATTTAGAACTTCATTATGAAATCAATTTTAGAAAAAAATTCCCTTTATTTTGCCTAAAGTTATGTGCCTTTCAAATTGAAGCTATTATCTATACTTTATATGCAATAGAAAATCTGCGCCATAAAATTTTGAAACACTTTAGGCATTTATAAATCATTTATTAGGGACTGCTTGCCAAGTTGATATATTTAGATGAAATAAATATGTATGGGAAATATTTATATATTGTTCTAAATGGAAGACAAATTGTTGATATATAAAACAATAAATATTCATAAATTTCTATACTGGAGTGTCTTGGGAAAATAATTCCAACAAAATCATAGGGCTAAGTTTCTGCAATGTAGATTAAGGTTATTTGCATCTTTCACTCCTGTTGGATAGATGGATTCAAAAGATGTAGCTGTTAATGAAAAGGGAGCAAGAAGAATTAACATCATACAGTGAGTAATCATGTATGTGACAAATAAGGAGATGTGAACTGTTCACACAGGGCACATTCATATGAATCTCTGAAGTAAACTGTTATCTACCAGGATTTAATACTGGATTAAAATTTTAGACTTTCTCTACTAGTCATCATCATATGTATACCTATCTAAATTTCTGAGAAAACTTCTTATTAAGGCAAATCACTGTACAACTCATTAGCTAGAGCAACACAGTGTAAACGTAAGTGACTCTAAAATGAATGAAGAGAATATAATTGACCTTTTTAGCCCAAAATAGGTTTATGAGGATGAATGTAATGTATTTCCGTAACAGACTGTACGGAATCGGTTTAGATGGAATCAACATGTATGCAAATAAAAATGCTCGGCTGCAAAATCAGATGGCAGACAAGAAATTGGTCCTTTCGGTCTTTGGAGATCTGTTTAAAAAATGATGGAGCATAGGAAAGAAGAATAATTACATGCATGATAGCAGGGATGGTTAAAGTGATGCCATCTGTCATGGCAGACTGCTGACCCAAGGCTGGGCAAGGTGTTTCAGAACAGTCAGTTTGTCAGAGTCAGCTATCTGCAGCTCATGTGGGGTGTCTGAGGAGTACTCCCTGGAGGAGCAGGAGGGGTGCTCGCCCTGGGAGGTCTGTAGTGAGAGAGCCTGTGGCGTTGCTGTGGATAAGGCAGGCAGGAGCAAGAAGAAGGGGTTTATAAAAACAGTGCAAAAACGTCGGGGGTCTTTGCAGGTGTGAAGGCCCCAAATCAGCAGGTGGTAGCAGGGTAAGTGATGCTGGGCTGGAGCCACCATCTGGTGAAAAAGTGGTTGGGTTAAAAGTTACCACAGAAGGAGGGCGTGAAGAAGAGGCTTCTGGTGGGGTTTGTCTGTGTGTTTGTGAAGCATTTACCTCCAGCACATTGGCGGTTAAGTTCTGGTTTCCGAGCTGAGTTTGAGGAAAAAATAATGAGAAGAGATATAAATGATCCAATTAATAAAAACACCTCTTTTTGCAATGTGGCAGAGAAGGCAAAGCATCGGTTTTATTTGCAAGCACTCTAAGGAAATATATTCAGAAGAATTAGGTGCCAACCACACAGTAGAGGAAAAGCATGAAAACATGCAGAAAAGGAATCCAGTAAATGTTTTTTGGAAATAAGGCCAGTTTTCACACAGCTTCAGTTTGGGGTGAGGGCTTAAGAGTGTTGGCATAATGGAATTTTTTTTTTCTCCAAAGTTTTGGTTTTTGCACTTGTGACAACAAATTAATATCAAGTCATTCATTGGTTGGCAGAATTAGTTTTCCCTTCACCAGATTTCTCCCTACTGCCTCCTTGTTGGACAATGTCCCCCCAATATAAATCAGTTTGCCTCATGTTTTTCTGACTTTCAGATCTAGAGACTGATCAAATTAAAAACAACTAAATGGAGAGGGAATTTTGTTTCCTTTCCACTCATCGAATCTCTATTTTAACTTCACTATAAAATACTAAAGGAATTGAACTTTAAAATATCCTAGCAGTGCAAATAGTGGTACCTTTGTGTGAAAATGAAAAAAAAAAAAAAAAAAAAAAAGCCACTGATGATGTTAGAGTATACCCTAGCTGGTTAGAACTACTGTCAGCTTAAAATCTTAGGTAAAGGAGAAAGAAACTGAAGGAGAAAGAAAAGGTTTAATACCTCCAAGGCTAAACATGGCGGAGGGGTGGTCTGTAAAAGGAAGAGAGCGGATGGCCCATTAAAGATGTCATAGCTGTCCATTTTCACCTTCATGATAGCTGACCACACAGGGCAAATATGATGATAAGTGAATTCATTCAACATGAGTGAATAAAACTCTGAAGCAAATTTTGTTTCTTACTCCTCACCCCCACCTCCACAATAAAGGTTTTTTGAGTGTTCAGTATGGGGCCAGTTGTAGCATAGATAGCCAAAGTATTATAGGATATTAATACAAGGATGGGGAATGTATTAAAGAAAACTGTATAAACTTAAAAATCTTGCCTAGTAAAGATTTAAGTGATGCTTGGCCAGCCATCATCTTCCTAACAGTTGATGTCATGCAGGCTGTTGAGCTCATAAAAAGTTATAATTAATTTTTGTCCTCAGAATTTTAAATGGAGAGTTTTAAAAAATCCATTATATAAAAAGGTCTCTTGGCCACAGATACCTTAAAAATCTGAGAGCTATTGATCCTTCTCTTAGGAAAAATGCACAAATTCATGTATGCATAAAATTTGCATCAACTTTAGGGGTTCATGGATACTTGAAAGCACATCTTTAATCTAACAGGTTAAGAAACTCCAACCCTGGATAA